AGTGGGTTTTATACCATAACCATGCACAGACTTATTGCCAATGAATGTTACACACAACACTTTTAAAATGTCAACATAATGTTTGATCGCATTCCTGTTATAACCTAATTTATTTTCGATTGGTTTACAATTTTTCCCTATTACAGAAAACAGGATATTTCTTTATTAGGCTGACCAACATGTCTTTTTATCTGTTGAAAAAAGTTTGTCAAAAACAGCATGACCTAAAACTGTTTGGAGGGTAAGATCTATGTGTGACAGAGTTAGCTTAGGAATAGCCAAACAGAAACACCATTTCATGCATATGAAAAACAAGCAGGCCAATACCTATATTTTGTACCCTAATGAAGCCACGGTGAAATCAATGACTCAGCATGATTGTTGTGATGTTTCTTATAAGGCACAGAAATCAAACAACATTTATTCTGGAATAAGCCCATTTATGTAAGTTGCATTTTTAGCAGAAATTTGTGTTTGTTTGTTTGGTATATTGCCCCACGAACAACCACGACCATTTTGAAGCAGATGTTCCTGGCAGCTTGCTGGTGTCTACATCATCGAACAACATATAGGAGGCCCATTGTACAGCATCCAGATCAGAGTGAAGTGTTTTGCTCAAGGACTCAACCACTCCAGGACAGACTGATCCATTACTCAGTGACCTGAGAAACACAAACTGCTACAGGTAAGGAGTGTTGAACCTCATACCTAACATCTTAACCAGATCTATCGGTAGACAGAATTATTTGTTACAGCAGCAGAATCTGAGTCACCAAGTCAATGACAGTTTTGAATTTCATTTTATTTATCTATATATAACAATTTACAAAAATTCTCATAGCACGTAATTATATCTGGGCATATCATAGTCTAATTCTATAGCTATACTGCCTTTAGATAAAATCAATCTATACTTGTATTGGCTAGGCCTTGTCAGAGGTTTTACAGCAGTTATTTAATTTTGTTTAGAACAATTCCAACTTTAATTGTGATTGATCTTATCTTAATTCGGGAATGTTATAGTAATGTCCTTGAGATTACAGAATCTGAATTGACCAGATTTTTATTTTAATTATAGTTACTCGATTTACTTCACACTAAACCTCCTTCGTATTAAGCATTGTAGACTTTTTTCTGCCCGAATTTATTTAATAATAGAAAAAGAGAAACTGTCCTTCAAAAGTTGATAGGATTTTGAACTTTGATAGTTGAGCGACAGCCCAGGTAGTAATTTATGACTTTTATTGATTGTGTGTTTGCTGGGTTGATATTCCAACAAATGGCCATGATCTGAAGCTTGCCTCTGTTTAGCAGCCGGTGGCTATTTCTGTGAATACCATACAAGAGGTTATCACATGATATTCAGAACAATGTGGGTGGTCGGGTGGCGCTGTCGTAATGCTCTAGCCTTTCACCTTGCCGACCGGGGTTCGATTCCCGGAACGGATGTGAAAAGGTAAGGGGTCACCTGCAAGACCACGTGGGTTTTCCCCGGGTAGTCTGGTTTCCTCCCACAATAAGACCCATCATGCGCTTACATTGGGCCAACAAGAGTGATTAGTATAAGTTGACATAACTTGTTTCGCAATTGTTGTAAAATATATAAAGTTTATATTAACAATGTGGGGTTTAGTGCCTTCCTCAAAAACAAGAAAAACACATGTATTATTACAAAATAAAGAAGCATGTACATATAAAAACATAAAACTCATTTCTATGTCTCTGTAAAAGGTCAAGGTCATAAGAGAGATCAATCAAGGTCATATCAAAATGAAGTTGGTCTTAAGTGAGATATTATTTTGCAATACAGAACTAAGATGTAATTTCTATTTAATCAAATCTTCCAATCAAGTTGAATGCAGATAAATCTATGCTCTGATTTTCTTGTAATGATGATGGATCTTAAATGCATAAATCAACAAATGAATACAAAATGTTGACAAAGTTCATTCAACTTCGGTGGATGATAGTGCAGCGTCGATATAGACGCCCAAACAGTTAATAACATTGTGTTGTATTACATTCATTTAATCTCCATCACTGCCTGGACCCCCGTAGTCTCTCCATCTTCATTAGAGTCTATCTGTCCTCCGACATGTTACGTTATTGGACATAACACAACTTCTATCTGCAATTTATATTCTATTTTCGTACCTTAGAAATTCCCATTCTATCACGTCTCGCCCTTTAACTTAATTTAACTCAAAATGTAAGTAAATGTATCTTTAGGCTGACCATTAGAGCGACTTCATAACAGCTTCTTACACAAGTGTATTGAATTTAAAAAAGGGAGAAAAGAAAAAGAAAAAAAATGTAAAAAATATGTAATTATTTGACAGTAAACTTAATATGCAGCAACACAAGGCTTTCAATATTGAATTTGTGTAAACAAGATTGCTTTAAGGCTTTCTGTATCATTAAACAATGTTACATTTTCTCATTTGCATAAAACAACAATTATTGTCGTTATAAGACGGTGATGCTGGTATCTCTGGGAGTATCAATCGCGGACAGCCATCTTACCTTAATGTTTCAGATTGGTTGTGTTGTTTTCCATTATTAGCACAGATTTATAATCTAGAGATTTAATGTTGAAATTAGTCTATATGCAGTAACTGGAATGATGTGAGCATGATAATATGTAGCTGGTATAGGTGGGATGGTTCGGGGTTGGGGGCGTGCGCAATTAGCGTACATCCTTCTAAAATTTGCCAAAGGCCATTGTTTGCAAAATAACAATTTGAAATTCCATCATCACACCTCAGTGTATAGATCTAATGTAATATGGCACTTCAAATCACTCTGTTCAGGACATTCATTATTCATATTCACAAAACATTTGAGTTTGGTCCCGAATCAGACCTTACAAGGTGACTTGTATTAATGCCTTCTAGTACACGTGACCTTTACTGGTATGTTTACCATCACATCATTGTACATTATATTTCAGTTCTATTTTCGAGATTTGTTCTGCCGTCCTATGTATAATGCATTCCTTGATTATTGGTTGACCTTGTAGCTAGAATGATTATAAAATGTAACAGGGTTATATTAAAACAAATGTAAACATAACAAATAAAATTTGGAAAATAAAGGGAGGTGTTGGACACCACACAAAAAAGAGGTTAGCTTTCAGTTAGAAAAATTGTGCCCCCACCAAACCCGCAATCCTAGATCTGCACCTTGTTGGCTAATAGAGAATGCTACATTGATTCAGGTTCTGAGTTTGAATTCTGGCATAATATTTTTCATTTCTTGTTATTCCTTCAAAAAAAAAAGGGGGGAGAGGAGGGTATCTTAGGAACTTTTTCTTGTAGGAAAAAGTCAATAAATTTGGTGGTCTCAGATTTCCAGAATGAAAATATCAAAATGTGAAGTCTTTTACATGCAAAGCTACAGATAAATCTTCTCAGTTAAACATTTTGTCATTGTTACCGACTCTAGCAGTACAAGGACCTTGATATTTTCAAAAGAATGAAGCTTTGAATAGACTAGCACAAAATAACCAATGATATTAATATCAACAATCATGACCTTAAGCTGTAGACAAAACAGACAAGATATTAGTTTCTAAAAATAGTAACATGACTTTAGAATGTAAAGTACATAACCAATCCTTATTATCCACACATATAGATATAAAGAACATTAACAATTTGTCAAACACTGTGAACTGTTTTCTTCATTAAGTTCCAGCTAAAGATTTTTGAAAGATGTCTAAAAATTCATTTGCAAGTCATGACCTTGAAATTAAGCTAAAAAAACCTCATGCAACAAAGAAGCAAACTATAGTTTCGCCAAAATCCACCACAAGCTGTTCTAACAACAATAAATTTTCATCTTCACGGCAAAAGGATATTGTTGATAAACTAAGTTTCATATTTCATCATAGCGACATATTTTATGGAAAATCTTGATGTAATTCAACCTTGAGCACTAATGTGCTTGTGTGGTTGACAATCTAGTTGATACAGCTACGGACGTCTTAAGAGGTTAACACACTGATTAATCAACGGGGAGAAAATAATACTTAATCAACACTCCTATACTGGATTGAACAGCATTACACTTGTCTTCTTCTCATTTCAATCAGAAATTATATCAGGCACTTTTCATGAAGTTATTTACCCTAGACTAATAATATTTACCCATTTATTTACTAATTTGAAGTCAACTCTTCAACTTGTTTAAAGATTTTAAGAATTTAAGGACAATTTAATGAAGCATGGTGACTTAATTTTATCTCTCTAAAAAACAAAACTTTTTATGTATACCATCAGATTTGACATCAGGTATGACCACACCATCACAAAATAAAAACATAACATTTATGCTGAAACATTTGTATAACTCTCAAGCAATACAGGATAGATAAATAAATAAATACTGACTTTTAAGTTTGGTGCATATAAGTCCAACGTTCTAACTCTCACATACACTTCTAGATGTTGTCTCTGCCTAGTTTGATTGAAATGCATTCATCCATTTTAAGAAAAAGTTGACAGAAAATTTCATGCCTGATTGATGCAATACAATTGATAGATAGATGACTAAGAAACCAACCATTTTCTAAAGGTCACTCGATGGTGTTGGCTTTGTTGACCGGGCAGATACACTGATGATAAAATCGGAAAAAAAAAAAAAATGGAAAGTCTAATGATATCTATCTCAATTTTTCTGCTACAGACACTATGGTCCTGTGATCTAAATGGGTTAAAATTGGAGCATCAATGCCTGTGATCTTTGGCAGATTTCGGTGTTGTGATGATTATTAGGTGGCAAACAGTATAAAAACAATACCATATATATCCTTTAATAAGCCCAGGGTGCCATACATATAGCCTCAAAACCACAATCACAGTTCATTACAGAAAAATTTAGATAATTTTGCTTGCAATTCTATGGAACAAAAACAGATCTGAGTGGGCTTATTACCAGACATGGGCTTATTGATGGATAGACATGGAAACATAAAAGTTTGATAAGGTTTTGTGACTTACTGTTGACATCCAGATATACCCAAGTACCGTTCCCTGCCTTATCTTTTACACCGTCAACAACGATATACTGACATTCGTACCAACCCTCGTCTTCGGCACGAATGTGGGAGATCTCCAATGAGATCCCATTCACAAGTTTAATCCGCCCTTGAAACTGTGGGTTCACGATTGCTTGATAACCTATATACTGAAGGTAAACTTCCTGAGAAAGTCCGTCTTTTTTCCACTCAATAACTCTATTGCCTTCTTTATTATTGTCGATTGTCATCTCACAATCCAGCACCAAACTTCCTCCTAAATTAGTTGCCTTTCTTGTCTGCACGCCTGTTATTGTAACAACAGCTGAAAAAAAAATTAAAAACAGATAATTTTGAGAAAAATTTGTTCAATAATTACATTTACCCTTATTTATTTATTATCAAATTTCAACATCTGTGGTGATACTGAGACCTGAAACAATGAAAACAAAATCAATTGAATTGAGGAAATAGAATACTGCAGGAAAGGATAATGGATGGTCATCCTTGAAAAACAAAATGGCTGTACTTAAAACCCTGGTGTCTATGCAGTATTGATAACAAACTCTTCTAATAAAATAAAATGTAAGAAGGAAATTCTGCTTGTGTGTGTAATACATCATCCAGAAATATTGAATTACTTTTTGTGGAATATTTTAAATGAAGTCACACAATTTCTTAGTAAAGAGTAATTTCAGGTGTTTCTACTCATCAACCCTACTGGCTTTTTTTAGGCACTTTCATGACCCTTTAAGAATTTGATACCTTTGCCCATATTCTAATAAATAGCAAAAATATTATTTTAAAAATCATGAATCATTAGGTGATGAAAAGGGCAGTAACTCTGCCAAATAAGTTTACAAGTTAATATACATATTAAACATTCTTTTTTCCCAAAAATTTGTCAATACACTGGAAGTCTTGTGAGTATAAGTATTATTTCAATTCTCTATTGTAACATAATTGGCTTTATGTGAACCTCAAAATCAAAGTTTGTTGAAGTATAGAACAGCATTTCCATTGTAAAACAAAAATATTAAAAACAAAGAGGCAAAAAAAAAACAAAACCAAAAAAAAAAAAAAAAGAAAAAAACAGGTACTTTTCATATATATGTCATTTAATTGCTAGTGACATTAAATTGATTAGAACTGTCTCTCTCCTGGGAAAATCCCATCTACAAAAGAGTTCATGCCACATGTAGTTATTTTTCTGGCACAATCATACAGATGATGCAAAGCAAAGAACATCCAGTGATCACAGCAACACAAAAAAACGTTTCTGTTGAATGGTACAATACTTTGATTGACAGATAATTGACAAAGTCTATGTGGTGTCATGGAAATGTTTGACATGAAACTGAACACAATGACTACCAACTGGTGCATTAGTCCCATCAATTTATACTTCACAGGTAAAGATTAAAAAGGAGCAGTGTTCAGAATTTTTCATTTAGTTTAATATTGGTGTCGTGATACCTTACAATATGGTTCATACAGAGTTATTGGTCCTTTATTGCAACTCTTACATACTGCAAAGTAATAAACTGATAATGTAACAATTTACCTTAAATTTTGTGGTTTTGATTGAAGTGCAACACCATCATTATTTGACTAATTTCATAAATTTGACCTTTATTGAAACTTACTTATCTCAAAGGATATTTGGTTCCAATTTGTACCTATGAATTACCTCCCTTCTATGTGAAATACGGTACATATACATATACTTTTAGATACCTGGGTACTGCCTCTGACACAGCCATATAAATCAACCTACAATTCAAAACTAGTGATCACTTCAGCATGACATCATAACATGTGGTATTGATCAATGACATAATAGTCATGCAAATATTTCATCTTGAACGTGACATGCCAATCATCAACACTAAGTTAGCTGCTATATTTGTGCAGTGAATAAAAAACTCGGGGCCATTATTGACAATGCTTGTGAAGTTTTACTCCGTAATGACAAACTGAAGGTCACTCTCCAAGAAAACAATTTTTTTTCATTTATAAAGCAATCATTTGACGAAGCAAAAACACACTATATGCTTTATCTTGTTTTTCCTTAAATGATGGCTTTTCATTTTATTTTTCAATTTTACATTGCTATTTTTTGATTGGTTACTTTTCCATACATTGCTATTTTTTGATTGGTTACTTTTCCATACATTGCTATTTTGTGATTGGTTACTTTCCTATACATTGCTATTTTGTGATTGGTTACTTTCCTATACATTGATATTTTGTGATTGGTTGTTTTTCTATATATTGATATTTTGTGATTGGTTACTTTCCTATACATTGATATTTTGTGATTGGTTGCTTTTCTATACATTGATATTTTTTGATTGGTTGCTTTTCTATACTTTGCTATTTTGTGATTGGTTGCTTTTCTATAAAGAAGTATTTTTTGATTGGTTGTTTGTCTATACAGAGATATTTTGTGATTGGTTGCTTTTCTATATATTGATATTTTTTGATTGGTTGCTTTTCTATACTTTGCTATTTTGTGATTGGTTGCTTTTCTATAAAGAAGTATTTTTTGATTGGTTGTTTGTCTATACAGAGATATTTTGTGATTGGTTGCTTTTCTATATATTGATATTTTTTGATTGGTTGCTTTTCTATACTTTGCTATTTTGTGATTGGTTGCTTTTCTATAAAGAAATATTTTTTGATTGGTTGTTTGTCTATACAGAGATATTTTGTGATTGGTTGCTTTTCTATATATTGATATTTTTTGATTGGTTGCTTTTCTATACTTTGCTATTTTGTGATTGGTTGCTTTTCTATAAAGAAGTATTTTTTGATTGGTTGTTTGTCTATACAGAGATATTTTGTGATTGGTTGCTTTTCTATATATTGATATTTTTTGATTGGTTGCTTTTCTATAAAGAAGTAGTTTTTGATTGGTTGTTTGTCTATACAGAGATGTTTTGTGATTGGTTGCTTTTCTATTTATTGATATTTTTTTATTGGTTGCTATTCTAAAAAGAAATGTTTTTTGATTGGTTGTTTGTCTATACAGAGAGATATTTTTGATTGGTTACTTAAAATAAAGATATATATTGGTTGCTTTTTCCTATCAGGCAGTCACAATGTTAAAAGTTGAAGAATATTTTCATTTTCAAATAAACTGATTTTTTCCCAGTGACCGACACTTAATGGAAGTAGGGCTATCATTGCTTATTGAGGGCAAAGGTCAGGTACACTTAAGCCGTTTAAATTTTTATTGCAACCTCAGAAAGCTTGAGTTGGCTTGTTACCCAACACTGGGTTATTGCTGGACAATACAGTAATATGTCAACCTGATGGACAGTTTATATAAGGAGGGAGAAAAATGTAGAGCCCAGTAAATGTGCACATCCTCACACCAAGATCACAAAAAAAAAAAATTAGTTGTCAAACCACAGGAACCTCATACTTTTGAAGCAAATGTCATTAATTACATTTAAATCTACATAAAATGTACTCATTATGTTTGATGAAGTAGAATCAATACAGTTAAATTTAAGTTTACTGGTACAAGAGGTACAAATGTACATTCTATATTAACAGCTTTATTGGGGGATCTAGGAAACTCCATTCACATCAGCCAAAATTTTCAACATCATTTTAACAAAATTCGAACGTTATTTCATCTTTTAGCCATGTTAGTTTCTGAAGGCAACGAAAAGATTGGGAGTTTGTAAAGGAAATATTAATGTAGACCAGTTCAATTTTGTTGTCTTTTCCAATTTTTAGCCAACATGTCATGCTGTTATTTCATTTGCCTTTCCCAAGATGCTTATAAACTTTTTCAATCTTCTGTTCACTAGTACAGTTCCTACAGGAGGTCTCTGTCATTGTTTGTAGATATTGCTAACACTGGGGTGTATCAATCTCACCTGACTTTTGAAACATTTTTTTATTAAGCATGCTCAGCTTACTATGAATAAAAAAAAAAAAAAATAAAAAAAAACATAAATAATCATCTTTATCACTTGTTTCTTCAGTTTCATTTATCATTTTGATTCCTTCAAAATATTTTCAATTTTTTTTATTTTTTATTTTTTACTAAAAGGAAATGTTGAATAAGTCAACCATTGGTTTTACATGCCTTTGAATATATGCAGTCCATATATCTATAGAAAAAACAAACTTGGAAATACTGTTCTTTAGGTAGAGATTAAAAATATCATATTCAACCATATGAATACTACCATATAAAATCATGTAAACTTTAACATAATGCTAAAAAAATACATATTTATAATCTTGTGATAATAAAAGCTTGTTTGATATGCTTCAATAGCAGAATTATGTATCCATTTTACACGCCAGTTAAAAAAGGTTGGACTGATCTCTAATCATTATTTAAGAGAAATTTTCAAATAAGGTTATCATTCAATATTTCTTCATGATTTTATGAGTATTGAGGTGTGATTATGACATGGAAAAAAGCCATAGCAAGTTTCAAGGTTCTCAGCCAAACAATGTATCAGTCTCAGTGTGATAAATGATCCATAGACATCCAAAACAGTTAAACTTCTTACTGCAAGTCAAGGACAATAACCTCTTTAAGGGTAAATAAGAGTTCAAAGCTACAAATAATATCATAACTAACTATAAAACAAATTACGGTTCACAGATAATGAGAGCTAGAGAAAACAGTTTTCTTCGATCATAGCTAGCAGTTTGGACCAGGAATTTACCTTTCAAAACAGTTAGCAAAGGGAACTGCTGACAAAAACCAACCTCAACAGGTAAGTCATAAAAATAAAGACTTGAAGTCGTAAATAACATTAAGAACCAACCTTAAACACCTGGTTCTTAAATAAACAGGTCCAAATGGAATTAAAATGATATTTAGGCCATAGAAACAAGACCCAACAGGAAAATAAATATAGAATGTAAATCCAACAGGCAAAGAACCATAGAAACCAACCCCAACAGGCAAAGAACAATAGAAACCAACCCCAACAGCCAAAGAACAATAGAAACCAACCACAACAGGCAAAGAACCATATAAACCAACCCCAACAGCCAAAGAACCATAGAAACCAACCTCACCATGGAGAGAATCACAAAAACCAACCCCAACAGGCAAAGAACCATAGAAACCAACCCCAACAGGCAAAGAATCACAAAAACCAATCCCAACAAGCAAAGAACCATAGAAACCAACCCGAACAGGCAAAGAACCATATAAACCAACCCCAACAGCCAAAGAACCATAGAAACCAACCTCACCATGGAGAGAATCACAAAAACCAACCCCAACAGGCAAAGAACCATAGAAACCAACCCCAACAGGCAAAGAATCACAAAAACCAATCCTAACAAGCAAAGAACCATAGAAACCAACCCGAACAGGCAAAGAACCATAGAAACCAACCTCACCATGCAGAGAATCACAAAAACCAACCCCAACAGGCAAAGAAACATAGAAACCAACCCCAACAGGCAAAGAACCATAGAAACCAACTCCAACATCCAAAGAACCATAGAAACCAACCACAACAGGCTAAGAACCATAGAAACCAACTCCAACAGGCAAAAAACCATAGAAACCAACTCCAACAGGCAAGTAACCAGAAAAACCAACCCAAATGAGCAAAGAATATTAGAAACCAAACATAACTATTAAATAACCATAGAAACCAAATTCTGGAGGCAAAGAATCATAGAAAACAAACATTATTGGAAAAAACCCATCAATAGAAGACAAACTCAATGGGTAAATATTAATAGAAACCAATATTGAAGAGTATCATCCTGAAAAAACAA